ACGGAGATGTGCACTGAAGGAGACGTCACGTCGGCAGATGGCGCGTCGATGCATTCCGTCACTATGGTCTGCACGTTCTTGCTCACGCCTAGACATCACTTCGCTACGAAATGTTTATCGAAAATCACTGCTGCGTGCCACAGAGTTTTTTTTAATATACTGCAGGCTTGCTCAGCCCTTGCAGAAGTGGTTACATAAGGCAACAAAAAAGCAGCCATAAACAAAATGGCTTGAACTTTAGAAACAAATGGTTCCGCGGTGCTAATTTTTACAACATTATGAGGCAAGTTGTTCCACCTAGAAATTGTTGAGGAAAAGAGCGAATGTTTTTGTAGGTTGACGCGACTAGAAGGCTGCCAAATTGTTTTGCTGCGGTTTGTTCTTGATGATTGTGAGAAAGGATTATGCAAATAACGTGACTTCAGACTTTTGAAAAGATTGTTGTACAAGAGATAAACAACTTCAAGCTTTAAAACAGTTCTTCGTTTTGAAAGTGGTTCAAGGTTTGCTCTCGCTAATAATTCAGAGACGCTAGATTGTCTAGAATAGACAGAATATATAAATATAGCCGCTAGTTTCTGTATGCGCTCAAGTTTTTCAGTTACATGTTTTTGGTAAGGGCTCTAGATTAAGTCATCATGCTCTAATGATGGTCTGATGAGTGCTTAGGGGCAAGTAGTTTGACATTTGGTGGAGTGTTGCGCAACTTTCTTCGTAAGAATGATAGCTTGTGTTCGGTAGTCTGACAGATGGAGGAGATGTGAGAATAAGGCCCAAGTATTTTACCTGATGACATTTTTCGAGTGCAATGTTGCTATTAGTGTATGTGAAACCAGTGGGAATTTTCTTATTGGGAATGTGATGCACTTGGTTTTTGACGCATTGTCTCCTACCCTATGTATTGCATCACGAACAGATAGACTCTAAGGAGTTGTTCAGTTAGATTTGCTTATTCCCATGGTGGGCTACACTATATACTACGCAGTCATTGGCAAACAGACGCATTTGAGTCGTTTCATGAACCTTGAAATGAATATCATTAATGTACATGAGAAACAAAATTGGAGCGAGAACGAACCCCTGAGGAACCCTTGAGTAAACCTAAAGTTGCTGTGAAACATGTTTTCCAATCCTCACGCGTTGTGTTCGCTTTTTCAGTATACTGGAGGTCCAGAAAATTATTTTACTGTTTATTCCAAATGCGAGTGGCTTTGTGAGTGAATCTTCATGCGGAACAACGTCGAACGCCTTCGAAAAGTCTAAAAAAGTCGCATCTATTTGGTATCCATCATTAATTGCAGTAGCAATTTCGTCTGTCAGTTCAGCCAGCCGTGTTACAGTTGAAAGGCCTGATCTAAATTGATGTTGCTAGCTGTAAAGTAGTTCGTTGTTTTCCAAGTGGAGTATTATGGCTTTAAAGATCACATGTTCCATTAATTTACAACAAGTGCTCGTTATTGAGACTAGACGATATATTAAATTCAAATTTTGAACCTGATTTGTGGATGGAATTATGTTAGCGCTGCGCCAATTGTCTGGTAACGTCGCTGACTCCAGAGAGGTGACAAATATTTTATGTAGATATCTAGGTACCCATACGGCATATCGGTTTAAAAATGAATTTGTGATATTGTCGGGACCTTTCTAGAAGACAAAAGATACCTGCTTTGTTTATGGTCGATTGCGGAATCGGAAATCTCAGTGCATACGGTTCTAGCTGGGCATTGGAAGCAGATTTCGTGAAAAAAGATGAAAAAAACACGTTTAGTTCCTGTGCAACATCCTGTAGTTCATAAATAATGTCATCGTGCATTTTGATCTGTGAAATGGCTTAGCTTTTGTCAGCTAAGTGTCGCCAAAATTTCTGAGGACTGTGCGTCATAAAAGAACACAAATGTACTTCGTGGAAGCGTGACTGCGCATCCGTGACTTTCTGTCGTAAAGTCGAGATAAGGCTCTAGGTGTCGGCGTTGCCTCCTTTTTTCCGCCGGCGATTTATTTTTCTTTTCAAGCGTATCATTTCTCAAGTAACCCAAGGATATTCTCGATTTATACGCTTTTTTCTTTGTGGAATAAAATTAGTTTCACAAAAAGAAACGATGCGTTTGAAACATCACCATAGTTAGTTCACGTCTCTCGACTCATTGAAGGCCACAAAATTTGTCTCCAGGAAACAACATGGCAGGATCGTCTACATGAGCAGAGGTTGCTACGTATATTGGCATTTGTGTTATTGGGCTGTTGATAGGGAACAGAATGAGATGATGACTTTGTGATCTGAAGTGCTATTTGTGGTGTGGTGGACACTGTGCAAACGTGTAGCGAGCTGCTCACAAATATTAAGTCAAGGAGCGATGATGAAGCAGTTATTTGGGTATCTTTAGTAACCAGTTGATATAATGAATATTTAAACGCGGTGGACAACAGTAGATCCGAGCTGCATGCTTCTCGTCCGTCATGCGAAGGATTGTTCCAGTTTATTCCGGGTAAGTTGAAATCCCCCATGATGATAATTTTAGATCTTAAATTAGTGTGCCTTGAAAAATAGTCTTGCATCTTTTAAATGTATTCTGGTTCTGAATTCAGAGCTCTGTACACGCCCCCTAATATTACGTTCTTGTCACCGTACGTGATTCTGCACTATAGGCTTGCTTTCCTTGTCCGGAATATTGTCTACTACAGAACATTTTAAGTTATTTTTAATTGCGACTGCTACTTCTCCTTCTCTTGATTTTCTGTCCAAACGAAGCAGTCTGTATAAAGGTGGAACTCTTTCAAAATCCTGCACTCCCTGTAGCAGCCACGTTTCAGTTATTACTAAAATATGCCCCGCCGCGGTGGTATAGTGGCTAAGGTACTAGGCTGCTGACCCGCAGGTCGCGGGATGAAATCCCGGCTGCGGCGGCTGCATTTCCGATGGAGGCGGAAATCTTGTAGGCCCGTGTGCTCAGATTTGGCTGCACGTTAAAGAACCCCAGGTGGTCGAAATTTTCGGAGCCCTCCACTACGGCGTCTCTCATAATCATATGGTGGTTTCGGGACGTTAAACCCCACACATCAATCAATTATTACTAAAATATGAGGTTGGTGCGTTAGGAATAACTGCTCTAGTTGATTGAATTTATTGACAACACTCCGAGCATTCAGAAAAAGAACGCTGTTTTTCCGAGTGCTGTCATTACGTGTTAATTTTATTGCGTCCTCCACGCGTGGATGAAGTGGTGCTGGCCGTTCGTGTGGACCGGACGTTTTGCTTTAGCTCAATCCTCACATTTTTTATTAGGTCCCAAGTAAATATTTTTTTGTCAACCTTTCGCTTGTCGAAGATCAATTTAAATTTCGCCTCTTTTGCTCTGTCGCTTGCGGAAGACTGCCATAATCTAGCTATCAGTTCTCTCACTCTTTTCGAAAAATCCTTAAATATAGAAAACGATGTGCCATCAAGTTTGGAGCAACTAGACAGGATATTATATTTCTCAGAAAAGTCAGAGTTGGATAATTACCGGACGAGTTCGGTCATTATTTCGGGTGCCTATTCTGTTCATGTGTTCGAGGGATTTCACCTCAAGGCGCAATATCTCCTTAAAAATATTATGCCTCACGGTGTGTTCAAGTAATTTCACATCCTCCTCGAGTTCCTCCGGGATACCTTGAATGACTAACTTATTGCGTCGACTCCTATTCTCTGGGTCATCCAGCTTTATAGTTAGTTCGTGAATATGCTTTTCCATAGCGAGGCGATTTCGTTCCAGCACGGCTAGTGTTTCCTTCTGTTTTTTCAAAATCGTCACATTTCGTTTTCAATTGTGGTTAGCCTAGTCGCCATACCATCAACATGATTGTTTATGAGTAACTACAAGTGAGTCAGGTGCTGCGACCACTCAGCTACCTGGAATTGATGGGTAGTACTTGGATTTGTCCACTTTTTGTGCTTGCGGGCTTGAAACGCACTTGTGGCTTTGGTATTGCCGTGTTCCAGTTTTCTTTCAAATGAAATTTACAAATGGTGGGTCTAAAAGATCAATTTAGTGAAGTGCAACTGTTGAATGTTTGCTGATTTTCGTTTCGGAACAAAGCAGCTTGAAGCCACGCGAAGCCAACTGGATCCGAAAATACGAAGATTAGACAAATTCATGGGCTACTCATCATTTCCATGCTCTCCGAAACGGAGAGTGTTGTACTCCCCTAGAAACTAGCGCTAGAGTTCCTTCTAGTGTGTTTATAGGAAGCTATGCTGTGTTCTACCATCGTCAGTCTTTGCTGCGCTGTTATCATTCTCATGAATGTTCATAGCTGTGATTTTAACATTCTGGCAAAAGATGCTGCTTCAGTATTTATGCAAATACTCTCATTGTGAACCTAATTAAAAATCAATAAGTAGTGGTATATATATTTGCGATACAAAAGATAGAATGGACATTAAATGAGCCCAAAAATATAATTCATGTGATTTTCATGGCAAAGAAACTAAACGCAGTCGACGAGTAAAACTGCATATACCGCGCACAAAATAGATGAAACAAAAGAAATAAAGAAAAATTAACTATGCAAACCGCAACAAAATTAACGTACTCGTCGAGTATATCATACACATAAAAAACAGAAGCCTGCGCTTTACGAAATGTTGATAAAAGCATTTCAATATGACAAACGAACGTCCTGTATGTTGAGCCTGTAGGCCATATGACCTCGTAAACTATGGTTGCGTTTACTTGACCAGAAGTGCCTGTCTCTCTGCCCGCGCAACGCTATTGACCTTGACAGTACCACCACCATCCACTACAGAGTTTCCAGACGCCTTGCCTTAGGGTAGAATCTTTGTCAGTGGATACTGAGGCACTTGTATCCCATTTAAATCACAATTGTCTCGCCAGCAATGTTAATTTGAAGCAGGTACACATGGTAGTATACCCTCCCATTGGAAATTTTTGTACACCAGTATCTTTCGATGCTTGCTAACGCTTGGAATGAATATATTTGGAAAAATATTGTGAACCCACCAGTGCGATGCCCACAGGTTGCACGTCCCACACGTTTCTGAGATGTTCTGCAAGGTCAACATCTGGAATCTTGAGGCCCTGGACTGTCGACTTCACGATGCGGTCTTCAATCGTAACGTCGTCTGCAAATCCTTGGGTTGTGTTCTGCATGACGAAACGTACCAATCATTTTTCATACATGCGTAGTTTATCAGTAAATTAGTGTTATAGTCTGTTTTTTATCGTCATAATATTGCCACGATACTGAGGGGACGCGTGGAAGAAGAGGAGATTGAGGTTGGCATGAGTGGTGATCTACACCAGATCCCTGGACTCTTGCATGCCAACCTCGTAGCAATATGACAAGCGCAATTTTGTAGTTAACTTTTTGTGTCTGTTTTCTATGGGCCATATTGTACTGAAATTTTGTTTACGTACTACGATTGTTACGTATTGCCACAACTATATTTTTATTTTGTTATCTATTGCGAAAAACAGCATCCCCAGCGTGATGCCTGCACATTTGTTTGGCACTGGTACACGATGCTATTTACTGGCACTTCGCTTGACGCACTGTGAAATAGCTGTGTCGTTGTCACGAGGCTGTTAAATGGGAAAGCTCTCGTGTAGGTTCGTGTAAAGCAAAAATCACCTATTACATAACCACCGTCAAGAAATGAGCCGAAGAGACCATTTGTTGCCGTCAAATACCCAACACTATATATATTTACGAAACTTTCAAAAATAGTAAACAGCAGAGAAAAAAACACAGCATGCAAAAAGACAACGAGGTTAACAGGAAGAAAGAATGGTTAAGGACGCGAACAGTGCGTGGAAATAAATGTTCAGAAGGAAAATAACTCCCATTAGAAGATAGCGGGATGCGGTGCTTGCAGCGGAGGCTCTGCTACCAAGACATTGACGCACTAACGCAGATGGTGACAGCGGTGACGCAGGGCTTGCAACTGACGCGACGGAGCAATGGTGAAGACGCACTCGTGCAGCAGGGAAAGATTGGCAAATAGGTAGAGACGCTCACGTCGTTGACTGGCACGGAAGAAAGCGTCGGACTGGTCGAGGTCAGTGACCTTTCAGCGTTCGGCAGCCGCAGCTCGCACACGAACCCGGAGACGTTCTTTGGCAAACGCCAGAAGACGAGAACAAGCCTGGCCCACGTCAGGTGTCGAGAAGAAGCTCTGTGTCCAGGTGGGAGCCCACAGCAACCTTGATGCAGGAGCTCTGCTGGCCGCCACCCCCATGCCCTGGCCACTTTCTTCACTCGGCCCCAACTCATCCACGTCTGCCTAGCTTCGATGTTCTTCTCCCATGGCTCTCCTAAATCTCCGTGAAGGGACCTTATTAGACCAAGATGTTTACGCCCACACGCGCCACAACCGAGTGTCATCTTCATCGTCCTCTTTAGTTGAGGCTGATGGTGTGGCGCAATTTTAAAACACGCAGTATCGCATCACAAAAGCCACCATCCCGAAAAGTTTTTCCGGCATGAAAAAACTGCAAATAAGTTCGCGTTGCACCACACACAACACACTTCCTTCCCAACGTTCACTACAATCTTACTAATAATTCACTTATTGTGCTTTACACGTTCACTGAAACTTCTCTACACAGTTCACAGCCAAGTTGCAGCGTCCTGCCCAAAACTAAGACAATCACACTTCTTGTGAAATTAGAGCTTTAAACTCAGGATATATACAAACCATCTAAGTCCTTCTCCATGTGGTTTAAATACGGATGCAGCGACCAGTTATTTGAACTCGACTCTAAGGTTATAGCGTCCCACACTAAACGAACAGAATAACTGTTTCTTTCATCTGAATGCAAAATGAAAACTTTGCTGAATTTCCGACCAGAAATCTGCGTGTATTGCTGCCTCAGAATTTTATCCACATGGCCATCAGCCCTGCCTGCGGCATCTGTCACTACATCTGGTGCCATGCAGACAGACACTGCTACAAATTCCTCCGTTTTCTATTTGGCTTGCACACAATGCACATGCTCCTTCATATAACTTTTTTTTTGTTTTGCAAACTGAATAATTTCGTAGTCGTTTCCTCCTCTTCACACGGAACGCTACACAATTTACTTTGACATGACGTATTTATTACGCCATGTTCAGGTGAGCTAACTGTATGTTCCTCGACTATGCATGCGCCACTGCTTATATCTGCTAGTGTTACTCAGGATGGTTCCACGGCTACCACCACAGAGTTATCTACAAGGCATACGCTCCTTGCAATATCAATTGTTTTACTTCGTGCACCCGAATAATCGGCGTCTCGTCTAGAGAGTGCCCCTTAGTTTCAAATATGCCACCAACAACAAATGGCCTTTCGTAAGGGTTGTCTAGAGGTCTCCCTACCTCTTCTATTATTGTGCATTCCGTTGCACTAGTTTGCGTTGCCGCATGGCTATATAACGAACTCGACTGTCCCTTCTCTGAAACTTCTCGCGAAGCCAGATTGGTCCTGGTCACCAAACCTCGACTGTACTCGCCCTCACTCTTCCCTTCAACTGTGCCATCCACTTGTTGGGAATCTGCACCTAAAGTATCACCACAGACGTTCTCAAGTGTGCCGTCGAAAAGAGAGACCGAATTACTAATAAAGGTCCTACTATCGGAGAACACTTTGGTTATCTGCTCTTTGGAGCTCAGATACGAAAATTTCTATCGCTAATCTCTACCTTTCAGTCCTCTCGCTTCGGTCTCTGCCAGTTTCAGCCGCAACTTAACCGTCGTTTGCGTTAGCTATTCAATTTCATTTTTCTTCTTTCTCAGTTCTCTTTCAAACTCCATTTGCTCCTCTCTGTCTTTGCGAATGCGCCTCTCGCGTTCTTCACACCAAGCCACCATTTCCTCGCCTTCTAGACCCATGCGTCTTGGCAACTCTTCTAGGTACACCCTACTCATGTTCCTGTTCTAGTGTGAAGAAGTAAGTGGAAAATAGTCTCGTCCTGTCACCTGACGCCAATTGTCCCGAGGCTATTTATTGGGCAAGCTCCCGTGTATGTTCGTGTAAAGCAAAAACCACCAATTACATAACCATCATCAAAAAACGAGCCGACGAGACCATTTGTTACCACTAAATCCACAACACTCTATATATTTACAAAACTTTCAAAAGATAGTAAACAACACACAAAAAACACAGCATGCGAAAAAATTGGCCCGAATCTACATGTTACACTGTAAATGTCGTCAAAAGACGATAGTCTTGCGTCTGGAAAAATGAACAAAACGTTTATTTAATGTTCTGCGCCAGAAAATCGGTAAATGGTATTCTGCAGGCACTGCCTTAGAGTGCCTCAAGTGTGTGCCGGAGGTGAACGAGCGCATCTAGGCACGTTAGACACAAGTGCCATCGGGCAGTTATCCTCAAAAACGATGGCGTGCAGCTCGCCGAGAAAGATGCACGCCAGTCTTGGAGGTGAGAACGCAAAGCGACGGGCAGGTGCCACCACCGTGACGTCGTAGCAAAGCGTCGGAAACACCGTTTTGAGTACGCGTTGCACTATCAGCACAGTGCGATTAAACGCTACATTCCTTAGAGTTACTTGTGTGTGCCTCTTCTAGTATAAAGACAGACATAGAAAACATCGAAACGTTGTTGTGGTGATTCAGATATGCGCAATAATTACTTTTCAACTGACAACTGACAACCGCAAAACTATAAACGATAAATCTTGAGCAATATTGGTGGGCGCTGCGGATGGGGTTGGCAGTTTGGTGCTGTTTGAGATATCGTTAGGGGAGACAAACAGACAAATTTACAGACAGACAGACAGACAGACAGACAGACAGACAGACAGACAGACAGGCAGACAGACAGACAGACGGACAGACGGACGGACAGACAGACCAAAATTTTTCCATCGAAGGTCCCCAAGAAAGACTATCGTATTAAAAAAGAACGATGCAAACAGGAAGAACGAATGGTTAAAGAAGTGAGCAGTGCGTGGAAATAAATGTTCAGTGAAAAATAACTCTTATTACAAGATAGCGGGACGTGGTGCTTGCAGCGGAAGTTCTGCTACCAAGGCATGGACGCACTCACGCAAATGGTGACAGCGGCGATGAGGGGCTTGCAACTGATGCGACGGAGCAATGGTGAAGACGCACTCGTGCAGCAGGGAAAGATTTGCAAATAAATGTAGACGTTCACGTCCTTGACTGGCACGGAAGGAAGCCTCGGACTGGTCGAGGTCAGTGACCTTTCGGCGTTCGGCAGCCGCTGCTCGCACACAAAGCCGGAGACGTTCCTTGGCCAACGCCAGAAGACCGAAACAAGCCTGGCCGACTTCAAGCGACGAGAAGAAGCTCTGTGTTCAGGTGGGAGCCCGCAGCGACTTTGATGCAGGAGCTCTGTTGGACGCCATCCTGTGCCCTGGCCCCCGTCTTCGCTCGGTCCCGACTCAGCCACGTCTGCCTAGCTTCGCTGTTCTTCTCTCACTGGTAAGTGCGCTGGCTTAACTACTGTGATGCTTGTGCACACTGGAATGCGATGGAAACTCTGGAAATTTCGCTGGAAAACGCTGGTGCATACTGGAGCACTCACTGTTGCTACCAGCGTAGCGTGCACATTTATCTGGCATGTGCCGTGGTATGTTTTGGTGTCGTTGAATATAAAACGCTTGACTCGACGGCATGGATAGACGCTACCCGAACAGATCCAGAGCATACGTAAATCTTCCAGTGCACTTGCGTATTGCATCAATTTTTGCACGTTTTTTGGATGTCGCCGCTTATACCATATTCGCATCAGTCGTGTATTGCGGCAACAATTCCATGTTGCACTGTTTAAAAGCCTGGAGCGGGGCGCCACTACTAACAAAAAAAGGAAATCGTTTATGGTGCCAAGTTGACGAAACGTAAATGAGCTCTCCCGATCGCTTCGCAAGGACAATGAGGTTCACCTGTCGTTCAATTCCACAACACCGCGAATGAATGTCTGGCCATGCTCATCCTTCTACTTGCTTCAGGTAACAGTAAGAAATGTTCCGAAGCTTAAATGCAGAAATTTCAGTCATCTTAATTCACAGCGTCGAGAGCGACCTTACCAAGTGCCTCGTACCTTGAACAAGGCTTAGGCTTATACATATCGTACCAGCGGTGTCGGTGTGCAGGCTACCAGCGATATTTTCCTTTG